CTCTCTCTCTCTCTCTCTCTCTCTCTCTCTCTCTCTCTGTCTCTCTCTTTCTCTCTGTTTCTCTCATTCTGAAGAAATAACACTTTCGAAAATTACGTCCAAACATTCTCTCTGTTTCTCTCATTCTGAAGAAATAACACTTTCGAAAATTACGTCCAAACATTTCCCATGACTTTATAAGTTTGCACTGTTCTCTTGTATGTCTCACAAACTTTACGTAATTCTGATGAGCTTATGCAATGAATGCGTCCTCTATTCACATTTGAAAAGAACAACAATAAATCGCAGGAAGGATAGGCCCGCTTTATTCGCAAATCCTTGGCAGCCACAAATATATCACTTAAAGATGTCGTTAGTCACGTACTCCACGTGGATTAGGAATCTGACAGATTCTCACGTCGCGGTAAATTCAAGACTGCGAGATATTGCGCATAAAATGCGCCTTTGCATTTAATATAGTTGCAAAAAACATAATTGATCTTAGCGTTGCAACGTTATTTGATAGATATGACACATAAGAATTTCTAAGGTTATATAAAAGAACTGATGTAAAAATATAACACGGCAATCCAAAGAAATGAAAATAATTTAATTTTAATTTGTTATTATTTTAAACAATTTGCATACAGATTATATAAAAAAATATGCAAAAGTGCCTGACAAGATTATTTCTACACGTTTGCGTATTGTATTAAAAATAGATTTGCAAATATGCATTCAATTCGATAATGAAGAGTGTATTTTTTTCTAGCGGAAGAGATATTCTGTGAATTTCTTCATTGGGATTTAAAGCGCGGATGAATTTTAATACGAATGGTGTTCGCAGACGAAGATTAATGAGGATTTTCGAAGAATTTATATTGTGTTGCGACAACGCGTACACGGCAGAAATTAGTCACGGCGAAAGAAAGCAGAATAACGTCTGCTGAGAGAAAGCAGAATTGTTTATGACGCGAGACGGGATGCATTTATGGCGATATCTCTGCTGTGTATGCCTGTTACAGTCATCACGACAAATAGAGCTTCGTGAATATCTTCGCGGTGAAAAATGCGTTTTTACATCTGCGATGCGACGGAAATGCATGCCAACCCGGTCAGATATCAATCTGCATTTGTACGCAGTCGCGTTTTCATCCCGGGGGGAGGGGGGAGGGGAGGGGAGGGGAGGGAGGGAGAGGAGAGAGAGAGAGAGAGAGAGAGAGAGAGAGAGAGAGAGAGAGAGAGAGAGAGAGAGAGAGAGAGAGAGAGAGAGAGAGAGAGAGAGAG